CTGTTGACCCTCTAGTTTTCACTTATCATCTCATCCATTAGCAGCATCAATCATGGTTTCCCATTAACTAGAAGCTACGGTATTGAACAATTACTGTTTTATAAAACAGCCCTGTTTTGCCTCAGACTGGATTTTCATGGAGGAGATTCAGCTTTGTTAAAAGGAAACAGAGGAAGGGTATTTCCTTTGGTCCAGCAACCCTGAGCATCATCTGAGGGGACTCAGGCTGGATGCACAGACAAGCTCTCCCATCCCCTCCCTGTACGCTCTTTCTTTGACTGCAGACCATGGCATACATACACAAACATTGACTCTCGGGCTCAGGCTTTCTTCTTCACTAGTCTCCTGTCGTCCTTACAGCCCAGCTCAAGCATTGCATTCACCAGTGAAGCTCCCCTGGCTCTTCTCTTTCCCAAAGAGAAACCTTCACCCACATCATCTCTGGGCTGACGCTTTCTGTGTTATCTTGCCATTGCTGATGTGTCTGTCTCACTGGTGTCTCACTTTGACTCTTAACTTGGGAAGCTGACCCCACCTAGGTGTATGGGAGCTGCCTGATAAACCATGTGATGGACAGAGAACTGAAGCCATGTGGGGGATCTTTCAGAGTGGAGAAACTAGACAGCCATTGCAGTAACACCTCAGTAAATGACTGTGGGCATCCTTAATTCACTCTAAGTTGACCACAAAGAGGCTCTTCCCCTGGAGAGGGAAAACATATGTGTCCCAAAGCATTTATTTTCTTATGCTCTCAAACTGTCAAAGTTAAATTACCAAGTAAAATCAGGCAAATAACCAGACAAATCCTGGGCTTGCCTCACTAAAACCAGTCCCAAGGAGTAAAACCCCAATGACTATTTGTATTGGTGTCAAAAATGTGAGTAATCTCCCCACCACTGCTCACTTACACACAGTTTCTCAGATTTAATAGACCAGGCAGTGTCTCAAATCCCCAGGAGAACTGGTGTGTTTTCTTCCCACAAACCCATGCTCCTCAGAGCTTTGCTCATTTGGTTTGAGAATGTACAATGATCTCTCAATACTCACTCAGAAAAGGCCTGTTCATTATGAAGTGGGGAGAGGGGATGGAGACGGAATGAAAAGGAGAGAATAAGAATAGTGTCTCAGGCTTCTACTGCTGTGATAAAGCTCCTTGACCAAAAGCAGCTTGGGGAGGTTTATTGCACCCTTCAGGTCACACGCCATCACTGCAGGAAGTCAGGGCAGGAACTCAAGGCAGGAACTGAAGGAAGGGCCATAGATGAACACTTATTAGCTTGCTCCCCATGGATCACTCAGCCTGCTTTCTTATAGATTCCAGTACCACCTCCCTGGGGTGGCACTGCTCATCTCAGTCATCAAAAGAAAATGTACCACAGGCTTGCCCACAGGCTCATCTGATGGAGACATTTTCTCAACATGGGTTCCCACTTCCTAATGACTCTAGTGTGTGTCAAGTTGACAAAACACTAACTGGTTCAAGGAGGTCTCCAAAAGCCAGGAATTCACCCCCATCTCAAGGTTGATTTTCTTTTCCTTAGAGAGAAGAAACATGGTTGGTTATTTAGCAAAGATAGCCAACTCATTTTATTTATAAATACTTAGGGAGTAGGTGAGTCACATGGAACATATTATCTACTGGGACCTATAGGTGGGTAAGCAAGGCCCTCAACTGTCTTTCGATGTGGGAGAGGACCAGAGATTGGTGGGAGCATCTGGAGTCCCCCATGATGGGGTCCGAGGCAGGATTCAGCCAGAGACAAGCAGAGAGGGAAGGCTACAGTAGTCTGAGTTTGGAAATTACAGTAAATTGGGGGACGGGGAGTGGACTACCTGTAGAGAGAAAGAAAATATGTATGTCTCAGGGATGGTGTTCTACTGAGTGTGAAGAAATGAGGAAGGATAAGAGAGCCAGGGTCAGTGTCTCTGGTGGAGGCAAAGGGAACACCCTTTGGGCTGAGGAGGAAAGAGAGAGAAGTTTTAAGTAACAGAGTTTAACTGGACCATATTGGATGTGACTGAGCACATGGATGCTGTCTAAAGTAAGACATCATCTACAGGTTAGAGCTCAAATAGTAGGACATCCGTAAAATGAGAAATCAAAGCGAAAGAAACCAACATATCAAGAACCATACAGTGGAAGCCGGGCGTTGGTGGCACACGCCTTTAATCCCAGCACTTGGGAGGCAGAGGCAAGTGGATCTCTGTGGGTTCGAGGCCAGCTTGGTCTCCAGAGCGAGTGCCAGGATAGGCTCCAAAGCTACACAGAGAAACCCCATCTCGAAAAACCAAAA